TTATTGTCTTTAAAAAATTCATCTCGTTTTTATGAAAATAATTTACTATGCCCTATCTTTCTTTTAGCTCTGAGGAGGTTACGTGCTACCAATCAGATTGAAGAAGATATTGAAGAAATGCGTGCAGAAGAACGTGCTCAACAGTCTGAAGCTACGATATCCATGATGGAATTAGTATGTTCACCCACTCTAAGACAACCACTTATCATTAGTGTAGTCATGCAGTTATCGCAACAGTTGTCCGGCATAAATGCCGTGAGTATTGTGTTAAACAACATTTATAATATTATTGTCACCTAATCACCTAAATCGAATATATTTTAACTTTTTATATGATTTTGTCCAGGTGTTTTACTATTCAACTAGTCTRTTCATAACTGCCGGTTTGGCCGAGAACGTTGCTAAATTTGTAACAATAGGGATTGGTGTAATTATGGTGAATATGACGCTGGTGACCATGCCATTGATGGATAAAACTGGTCGAAGGACATTACATCTTTACGGTCTGGGAGGAATGTTTATATTCTCAATATTCATTACGATATCATTGTTAATCACAGTAAGTTATTAAGAGCATAATATCAAATAACATCAAATTTGACGAAGAGTACTTATTATCTATGAGATCGAAATAAAGMAAGGTGATAAAATATAAATACATATATCGTATATACCTAATACGAAGCAATAATTGAAAATATTAGAAATTATTAATGTTATAGAAAAGTTCCGTCTACATAGCAACGGCAATAACTTATTCATCAAAATTTATATATAGCGTTAAGTTTTATAGATACACTTTAACAATGTTTAACTGTTAAATAAGCTACAAAACATTTTGAGACTCTTCAAATTTATTCTATTACAACGTTATTTGAATCAAAATTTAATTCATTTCCGACCAGTTCTAATAATAATTGTTAAGAAAATGTACCTATATCCAGATAAACGTAAATACAGTTGGTTTATGATCGTCGCGTGCATCTAAAATATATTTACAATTWTTTATTCATTTAAAATTTAATGAATTTCCAAACATTTTAACATAAATCACTAATTAATTACATCATGATATATGCCTAGARATTAAAACTTCTATATGTTTATCGAAAAACATAAGTGCATTAATCAATACGATAGGCCTACTCAATAGTCAATACTTAATTTTATTTAGATTAAGGCATGCATAATTATTTATTTTGTTGCTGCTTATTATGTGACTTATTTTATTTTTACTGTTAGATTCTGAGCAGAGAGATGTCTGTCATCACCTTTTAAAAATGCTTTGATTTTTTACTTTATCGTCTTTTTAGTAGGAAAGTGAATCTAGTTGGTACTTAGGAAGGTCAAAAGCACTTCAGTACCCCAGTACTTTTCAAAAGCATCAGGAAAAACGAACAAAAAGTTAAAGAAAATCTGAAATTTTTACCCACAATGAATTTTTGAAAATAATTTGGTGTAACTCTAACAAAAATAACAATAGAAACATGAAATCTCCAATGAATGTTTATATTATAGTATTTTCTATACACCAAAAAATGTTGAAAATATTTTAACTGTTTTTTATCCAGATACCTATATATTTATATTACTTATTTTTCTTATTTTCGATACAAGTTTTATACAAGGCTTTYCATAAATGATTAGTAGAAATTTAAAAAAAAGTTAATGTCCATCATAATAATTTTTTATAAGTATATTAAGATAGCATTCGTCGAAATCATGAAAATTTGTGAATTGTTTAAAATTATAAATTCATGACAATTTATTCTTTTATATTATATCTAATAATTTAAAATTTAATACAAGATTCTTCCTAACTTTACTACCTTACACAAAAAAAATTTTTAGCGGACAGTCAAATTAATTTTTTATGAGCGTTATTTTTCCATCCAATTTCACCGGTAAATTAATGATTTTTTTCTTGTTAAACAGACAGCAGAGGAGGATCTGTGTGAATATTACTACTCCTCTGCTGCCATCGTTTATTAATGTTTAATACAAAAATACAAACACATTCCATACAATAGTTGCTTCACCTTACAATGTGAATAAATATTACAATTAATTAATGATTTACCATCGAACGATTTTCTTATCGTTATAGTTCAAAAAAAAATAATAACCACGCGTATACAATGTATACATCATACTTGAGATTTTCACCAAAAGTTTATTTTATCGTTTTCTTCGCGTGAGTATTATGTATTTGTATGTTCACAGCCAGCTTTTACGCGGTAAAAAAAATTGTTCAAGTGGAAATGTTCCGCTCCGAGAACACCGATTTACCGCGTAACAAAATACAGTGATTACACAAAATTGTCCGTCTATTTTCCCCTTGCACAAAAATATTTACCGCATCAACTATTTTTTTATTAGATTTTTAGTTTTTTTTAAATTTTTATAAAAAAAATGGATTAAATAATTTGTGTTCTTTACCTGAAATATTATTTTTATAAAAATTAGCGATATTTGATTGAAAAAATAAAAAACTGGAAATCTAATAAAAAAATAGTTGATGCGGTAAATATTTTTGTGCAAGKGGCAATTAGACGGACAATTTTGTGTAATCACCGTATTGTGTTACGCGGTAAATCGGTGTTCTCGGGGGCGAACATTTCCGCTTGAACAATTTTTTTTACCGCGTAAAAGCTGGCTGTGAACATACAATTTTATCACGCGAGAAGTAGTATGTATACAAATACATACTACTTCTCGCGTGATAAAATTTTCAAAATATTTTGAATAGTTTTGAGTCTTCGATCTATTTATATTCACTATACATTTTATGTTTTCAACAAATGAACGTGTTAAAAATTTTCATATTTCAATTTTTTTAGTATTTTTTTATAAGCAATGATAACATTTTATTCATAAAATAAAAATGCTTTCAAATTTAATACAACGTTCCTCATAAGTTGTTACAATAGCTGTCAAAAAATATTAAAGATACATAATGCTTTGCTTATAAGCTTCGAACTTCAAATTTTGACAAAATTCATAAAAATTTCAAAAATTCATATTTTATTTAAATTTATGTCTAATTTTTATTAGCTAAGAATTGAAAATTTTTAATTTTAATTGTCACGAATAATTCATACTGTAACCGAAAAATCTAAAAAATTCTGTCTAAATCTGAATATTTAGGAACATTATTAATATCTAGTGTAAAAGTAGTAGGTACCTACGTATATAACTAAATATT